AAAAAAAAAAAAAAAAAAAAAGATATCACGTTGTAACTTCTGGTAGAGCAAACTTCTCTAGGTTGTCAATAAACAAACTTAAACCTCTGTTCACACATTTTAAACTAATTTATCCATAAATATCCCACTTGGTGGGCTTCAAGTGATCAGACAAGTTACACACACAACAAACCAAACTTATCAATTCCTTGTACATTAAAAAGAACTTCTGATGATGTATCTTGGATGTGCAGCTGATGTAATTTGTTGTAAACATATACAAACAGCCTCTCATAACACCTCTGGACTTACGAAGTGTCTTAAGATCCTTTCTGAAGCCTTGTTAGTAATTATAAAAAAATGCAATGATACATTTGGAGTTTAATTTATACACTTCAAATGACTATACATATATCTATCTATCTATATATATATATATATACAAGTTAAATATCCGAAATGCAGTGCATTATACAGTATTATACATAACTTGAGCAAAAATAGATATAGATGAAATACAGAAAATAATGTTAGCTACCCACAAATTTAATGATTGAAAAATGAATTTATGCTAAGTTCCTTTTTATCTGCTGTAAGTACTTCTCAAAAGTTAAAATCACGTCAACAATCTTATGCTTAAATATCATTTACAAACTAGCCTTGTTACATTTATATATTTCCAAAGTGGCTTCACAGCACATGTAAATTTTCAACTAGGATTCCTTTACCAAAAGGTAACTTCTACGTAACTTCAAAAATATCTCTTTCAAAAAAAACAATTAAAAAACATCAATACAAAACTCTGTTTAATGCTCAAAGCAAGAGAACCTGTTTTTTTTTCTCAACAAAACTCACCAACATATTTCACATAACATTGATTTAGAAAATTAAACCTCATTATACAGAAAAATACTTTTGAATAAAGCTAATTGTAGTTTGGATTACATTCACTTTGACACTACGGTACATACCTAACAGTACCAATATACCTTTTTACTTACAAAATAGTTTTTCTGGAGAATGTTTTTATTTCATGTAATTTTGTCTATTATTCACACAGTGAAAGACTTTGCTATAAGCTTCGTAAAAGGCTAAGATTACTTCCTTTCATTTTTTCTTAGAGATGCATCCTCCAGCACAGCAAAATAGCTTAGCATGCTTCATGACAGGAAAGTTCTACAAAAATAACCTCACAAGCATTCCATATATATACACAGTGTAAATATCTTTCTTCTTTCATACAGGTAACTTATTTTATTTACAACAATAGCTTTCTTCTGAAAGCAAAAAAGTCACTCCACAGATGAGACTAAAAAGTTATGAAAATAAGCTACTGTTATTCAGGAATACTGCATTAATATCTTGAAATGGATAAGGAAATAAACAAACTTTGAGCAATAATCACAACCAGGTCTGATCCTTTTACTAAAAGGATAAATTTCCTGATATACTCTTCTTTGTAACCACTTTAAACTACCTTTTACTGACTATTATGTAAACAACATGATTTTTATTGATGAAAACACTTTGACGTAAATTGTTCATCAGCTCTATGTCCCCACAGGTTTTTTGAGACAATCATCAAGACACTTCAAGACTTGCCAGTTTTATTTTATTTTCTTTTTCCACTTTATACTCAGATTCTTCATAGGACTTACTGATTTTCTGTGGTTCAGGTTTCAGAGACTGATTCAGATTGGCTTGTGGTTTCTTACTAAGAGAATCTTCTAGGTCCCCCATGGATTCCAAAGCCTGCATCATGCTTCCACTTTCAGACACCCCACTATCACTTTGGGCACTAATATCCCCATTTGTTGATGCTGTCTCACCTAGAATATTGTCTGAAGAATTCTGTCTGCTAATGGACTTAGGAGAGTCCTGTACATTTGGAAGACTATCAAGAGGAATGGCTTTTTTCTTCTTTGGTGGATTTTGACATATTTGGTACAAAAGTGCCATTGGCTCATTCTAAAATAAAAATATACTTAATAATGTATAGGAAAAAAGAAAGGAGAAAAAAAAAAGGCTCCAGTAAAACAAAAACATTAATTCTAAACAAACTAAGAAAATTATGCACTGCTTTTTTCTTTAGTACGTTAACACAAAAAAATCTTTAAGTTATTCTAAAAAGAAATCTGTGAAACTGAAAGACTGAAAATCACAAATTGCCAGTGAAAGACTTAAGTACATTCCAGGTTAAACAAGCAGCACGATCAACTAATACACTGAAAAACTGTATTTCATAATACATAAAAGAAAGACCACAACATGTAGTTTTGAGACTAAATGACATCGATTTCACAAAATAAATGAGGATGCATATTTGTTTGACATCAATGTTCTTCTTCTTTCTTCAGTTTATTTGTACTTTTGTTAACAAACGTAAAAATAAAAAATGTTCAATGTGGTAAACAAATTAATAATTTGATCTAAGTAACAATTTTTTATGCTTCCCGATTTGTAATAAATCCTTACGTGAGAGAAAAAAAAAATTATTTTCGAAATCTGCACAGCTGAATTATGGAAAATCTGTTAGTAAAACCAAAACAACTTTTATGAAGTTTAAATTTGCAGGCCTGTGTTATTCATATTTTATTAGAACATCCACAAAAATGGAGTTTATTAATTTGTTTATGATAATGAATACTGATAATATTTTTTTTTATTTTGAATTGAATCATAAAAAAAATGTTATTAAAGCATAAACAACCCTACAGAGTTTAACATTTGTGATTATTATGTTATGACTTAATATACCAAGGGATTGTGTTTATACTGTTGTAAAATGTCACATATTTATTGAATTGGCATTTTCTGATGTGTATATATGCTCAGAAATGTACAAAACATTCAGTTGTTAACCATACACTGCAGTAAACTCTTATTTCTGATGTCTATAAAACATCTGCACAAGTTAACAAAACCATCAACTTATACAGAGCACAATGTATTATTTTTCCACGTCCTTTCAAACTACGTGAAATCTTTGAATTAATACAACTATATATTTACCGATCCACCACATTACCAAAAACATTTTCAGGTTTACACAAATTTTGTTCATGAGATCATCAGCTTATACTTACAAATAATTATGTTGCAAGTTCTAATTACACATGCAAGAAATTTTTGATGCTCCCTGGGCCAGGAATGCAAAATTTCAAATTCACTGAGGTTTACCTAATTTCTGGTCATACGAGAACATTTCTGTAGCTCTAAAGCAAATATAATGAAAACTAACACACTACCAAGAATGAAAAGAACATCTAAAGAAACAACAAAAAATTCCCAAATCTGTGACTTGTTTCTAAGTCTCCTAAGCTTTACATTAAATTCTGTCATTGTTCTCTGCAGAATCTACATCTAATCACTTTCCTATGAAACCATAAGTTACTCTTGCACCACTTTGCTCACCCTACATTGATGTAAATAATTTATAATCTGCTCTATCCAATGGTGTCTAAACTCTGCCTCTTCCATGTCAGCATTTTATTTTCACTTTTCACTCTGATTTAAATGAAATAAATTTTATAAAATGATTATAAAATTGTCAAAATAGTTAGAATTATTATTCTTTATTTAAAATGTAAAACTTAATATGCCTGGGTGCACTCAGCACCTAAAAGGTGTTCTCTGGTCCAGAGTTAAAACGTCTCAATTTCACTATACAAGATAATTTCCAATGTGTGATAATGTGACCGATTCTACCAATAAATTTGTTCAGAAGTTACGTTACAAAAATAAACTGAGCAAAAGAAGTTGCAATCGCAAAGTACATTTCTGTTATTATACCCTACGGTAGTTCCATTTGTAAATATTTATTTTCTGGCCATCACTCACAGGTGAAATTCCCATCTTACAAGCCCTTGTCTTTTCAAATGGAGACATTTTACTTGTCCTCTTATATAAATAAATAAAATGTCCTAACAGAAACGTTTTACTTACCCTCCTCCAGGAGTAGATGTATGCCAAGTCTACTATTGTGTATTCATCTGCAAGATAGTTGTGCTTATAAAGAATTTCCACCTGTAGTAAAGATTTAATCATTTATTTGGAGATCATATAACACCAGTTTATGAATCATGGTATTTAAAACACTGTAGACTATCACTTAATATTTTATAAAATATTAAAATGACACAAATATAATTATCATTTACCAAATCACACATTTTAAAAAAAGTTTGCCCAAAATGATTACACAAACAATTCAAATATTCGTGTTTTTTTTCTTCTTTCTTGTCCTACCTGAATATATATATATATTTCAATAATGTAATATTGCCACGAGTGTCACCGTCACTTAGCTAGAGCAAAATTGTAATTAAAATGTAGATAAGAATATTCTAAAACGTATTTAGACACTATAAAAATTGTTTTCTTCAATACCATTCATATTAAACACAATTTTCTGTTTGTTTGCTTCAGATATTCGTACAAAGCTACACAAGTAAACTAGTCAACCTGCACTACTCTTCCTTAATTTTGAAAGACTTGAGCAGGGTTCTTAGCAGGATCAGCTAACTAAATTTAAGACCTTTTTAAGACCAAGCTAAAGACAAACTTAAGACAAAGCCACACAAGTAAACTAATCAACCTGCACCACTCTTCCTTAATTTTGAAAGACTTGAGCAGAGTTCTTAGCAGGATTAGCTAACTAAATTTAAGACTTTTTTAAGACCAAGCTAAAGACAAACTTAAGACAAAGCTACACAAGTAAACTAGTCAACCTGCACTACTCTTCTTTAATTTTGAAAGACTTGAGCAGGGTTCTTAGCAGGATCAGCTAACTAAATTTAAGACCTTTTTTCGAGTTTGTTGTTATTTCATTCTGTCTAGGCCTATTACCTAGACGGGGAGCACAAATTCGAGTTTATTTTGTTTTTATAGATGTGCAGTGCTGCTAATGCAAATAGTGGGACAAAGCCTACTGTGGTTATGGTCTGTTTGCAGACCTTAGACTTTCCACACTTTAAAAACAGTGTGTGAATTGCTGTTCATATTGAAATGTTAATGCAATCATGGGAAAGTGTGTGTTCAATGATAAGTGGCTGGAGGACGGTTGATACAGCCGTTGGTCGGTCTGACACGGCAAGTACAAAGCCAATTGCAAGGTGTGCCCACCAGTTCGGTGCAAACAGTTGTACTTAATACATTTCCTGCTTGATGATTTTTTTGTTTTGAAGTTATTTATTCAACATAATAAATGAGTAGTTTCTCAGTGATGATGTATTTTTTATCAGTATTACTCTTGCAGTATTAGGTGATCCGATAAATAGCATAAAAATATATGTCTACGGGTCTTAAGTTTGTCTTTAGCTTGGTCTTTACTTCCTTTCCCTTTACAGGGTTCCTAGCAGTCTGTAAAAAATCTGAACTTTATGTTGTATTTTTTAAGGACTTAAAAAGCTTTAAATTCACAAGTTTTGGCTTTTGAGGTCTTAAATTTAATTTCTGTGGGTATTGATGCAGCTATCTTTTTCATAACTTGGGTTTGTTCCACACTGCACTTATTCTTAACAGCATTACAGTACTTTCCATTCATTCTGTCTAGTCCTACATGAAACTGGGAGCACTAAAGTAAACAGCACCCACCCCTAATTCTTTGGTTACCCTGATCAAATAGTAGGATTTGACCTCTGATCTTGTAATACACTCATGGCCTCAAAGTGTGGAGCATGATTCTGCAGTAATGGAATGCAAACCATTGACCCTGGAATGCTAGCTATTAAGCCACACCCAGCCCATTCAACAATTGGAAAAATATAAATTTAAAACTTTTTACAACTGTTTTTCAAAGGCATACAAATGTTTGTTTCTAATTAAGCACAAAGCTACACAATGGGCTATCTGTGCTCTGCCCAGCACGGGTATCGAAACCCATATTCTAACATTGTAAGTCCGCAGACATACCGCTGTGTCACTGGGGGGCACATACAAATGTATCAGGTTTGTACACATGAATCTAGACAAGCTCAATATTCATAAAATACTTGAAGTTATGATGTCATAGTGAACTTTTCACAATGCTAAGTTTTTCTCTCAATTTATATACACAATTTTATCAGCTATGCCAGGGATCGGCAACCTGCAGCTCGCGAGCCGCATACAGCTCTTTAAGGAGGTGCAGCTCTCGGGCTTTACTCTTACAGTGAAGAAAAAAGTTGAGAATCTTTCAAGCACAATGGGTGTTTAAAATTTAATCTCAACATTTGCAATTTTTTATTTAGAATAGAGTCGCACAGTTAACATTCTAGCTAACTCCTAAAATGTCTTAGAAGTCTTAGCTAGATCAAAAAAAATCTACAGAGGAAAATTGACCACTGATTTTAGTGTTGTAAATTCGAAATGTTACTACTGTCCCACTGGGAGAACTTTTTTTCACATTAGACTGTTAAGGCATATTGTGGCTCTCAAAATGTTTTGGTCTTAGACAAAAACAAAAAATGGCTCTTTTTCTTTGAAGGATTCCTGACCCCCTAAGCCAGGCCAAAAACCAATAACTTTGTACAAAGTACGGTGTGAAAGAGCCAAGTTGCTAGATTTTGCAACAAAAACAAACCCTATGGGCTCTCAAAACAAGCCACTCCTTAACTAATAAGCTTTAAGCAATGCAGGTCTGTTAGAAACATATAACAATGTACAGAAACATGACTGACAAACTAGAAAATAAAACCAAATATTAAAATTACTCACTAATTAAATACATGGCATGTTACCTTGTACATAGATGGAAGTTCGTATTTAGACTGCAGTAATTTCTTTAAATGAGCGACAGTGACAGCACCTGAACAACGCAAGTAACGTCGATGAGACTGAAAAATAAAAGAAATAATTCAATTTGTAAGATAAAAGTTTATACAACATAAATTACTAAACAAATCTCTATAGTTGTAACACACTGTTACAACAGAATTACTAAACAAACCTCTATATTTGTAACACACTGTTACAACAGAATTACTAAACAAATCTCTATAGTTGTAACACACTGTTACAACAGAATTACTAAACAAACCTCTATATTTGTAACACACTGTTACAACAGAATTACTAAACAAATCTCTATAGTTGTAACACACTGTTACAACAGAATTACTAAACAAACCTCTATATTTGTAACACACTGTTACAACAGAATTACTAAACAAATCTCTATAGTTGTAACACACTGTTACATCCTTGAAAGGTTTTACATTCTCTTTAATTCCTGAGGCTATTCAGCAGTAGTTATGTTTTGAGACCATCGACATATAATATTCACAAATTATACATTTTTACTACAATAACAGTCTTTTACCAAAACCCCTTCTTTTTTTATTTTGGTATTAAATCAAATTGATTGATAAGAACAGCAGATCCTGTTGATCTATGTAATATATTTAATATGCTAAAAAGATAATAAAGTTGGACTTTTTTAAATATCGCTAAAAAACACTTACACTCTGAGGATTAACAACTGGTTCTGGCTGGTGTGTTCCAGGAAACGGGTCTCTACATAAAAAAGAAGATACTTATTCAAACATATATGAAGAAAATCATTACTAATGGGCTCAAGAACTCGAGCACACTGATGTCAAGTTCATCATGATCAAGATATGTAGTAACCCTTTTACACTTTTTCCCAAGGACCATATTTGTGTAGATAGTTTAACCGTGTCGTGACACACTATTAACTTAAATAAATGCTAGTTTGAGTTAGATTACATAAAAACACATTCAAATTACTCCAAAATGTGTTGCTATAATGCATCATTTTCAACAATTAATGACTTGTGAGGTACTCAACAAATGTTTTGGACAATGAACTGTGATTTGCAGTCTTTTATTATTAAAAACTAAACTCTGCAAAGAATACAACATTTTTCTGAGAGGAGTAAGTTTTGTATTTGCCAAACACTTTACACTGAAGGATGAACTTACCAAATTTCTTCCAGTACATATGGTTGTTGTTAAAAACGAATTCAATGCATTCTTACCCCCACCCCCCCAAAAAAAAGAAAGAAAGGGGAAATGTTTCAGAAGAATTACACTTTGAGGTACAACATTCTAGAAAAATATTACAAAAACTCAAAATAATAAAAACATTAGGTTTATGTACGCATTTTTTTTTTGTGAAGTCTAACAATTTGTTTACATCAATTGTAAAACAAAGATGGTAAGTAGAAATATGCCACTGAAACGTTTTACCACTGAACAAGCAATGAGCGTGTTCAATCAGTTAGATGAAGGAGGGAGTGATGAAAATGGTGATGCTGATGTGGAATTTGACTTTAGAAGAGACTCTAGGGATGAAAGGGACTCAGGACAGTCACTGAGACCCAGTTCCAGTGCTTCTCAATCAGTTAATCAGATGGGGGAATCACCCCAACCAGAACCTATTGGCACAAAGAAGCCAGAAAAGCGTGGGCCAGCTAGACCTGATCCACCTCCTAGGGCCAGAAATATGATTGGGCTGAGGTGGTTCTACAAGATAGGTCAGCCACAAATAATGGTTTTTGAATTTTCACCGAAGAACAGGCTTTTCTTGATGTACAAGCTAACATCAAAGATAACTCATCGCCCCTCAACTGTTTCAAAGCTCTGTTTGCATAAGATGCAAGTAATGTTCTCATACGTTGCAAAGAAAATGCCTCTTCTGAGATGGTCGAGGTATTTGAACTAGACTCCCTTTACCGACTATGAGCTGCTCAAGTTTCTTACGATGACAACATCAACGGGCTTGGATAGATGACCTAGTATTTATTCGAGACTACTTTGCCACCCATCAGTCTCTTTACATACCCTTTTATCACAAAATGTTCAACAGGGAGAAGTTTGAAGCTATTTACTCAACAATGCTTTATGTGGGTACCAGTGATTCTGAAGGGAGACTACTTTGCCACCCATCAGTCTCTCTACATACCCTTTTATCACAAAATGTTCAACAGGGAGAAGTTTGAAGCTATTTATTCAACAATGCTTTATGTGGGTACCACTGATTCTGAAGGGGAAACAAAAATTAAGAAAATTTAAATTTTGTAGGGTATGGTGATAATTATTAGGACATCATGAAAATAATTCAAGGAGAATGCACAAAAATTATGGATTTAAAGTGTTAAATGTATATATATAAACACACACACTGTTACCACACCACCACATCATTCATTACCATTACAAAAATAAAAAAGGTAATTAAATTAAAACCTTAAATGCCCAATATAAAATGTAAATACTACTGGAAAGAATAACTCAAAATCAGGAAATGGTTGACTTCAGCTTAAGATGTGCAAATATTGGTTTCTAAAAAAGTTGATGAAAGTTTTAAAAATGCAGTAGAAGTTAATTACATAAACCACGAAAAACAATTCAATGAAAACTGCAAAATTAAACATGACCAGTCATGAATTAACTCTAAGCTTACGGGTCTCCTTCCTGCACATGTCATGAGATTTTACTTAGTTTCATTGAAAATTTCATTAAGCAATCTTACTATCAATGTGTGCCAGTGAAGTTAGCATTCAAATTTACAATATAGTTCAAAGTTTTAATTCCTTTATTTCAAAAGAAACCTTAAGGAAAAATTCTTAAACTTCAGTTTTTGTTGTCATATGATGCTTAAGTTCACAAATTCTTAATTTCTCAGCTCTGTAACTTGAATACTTATTACCCTACACCATACTTCAATGTATAGACAGAGACTAGGTTAATTGCTCTGTTCACACAGACATTTAATTCAAGCTCCTTAGGGCACATTAAAAGAAAGGAAAAAAATAAATTTCTCAAAACTCTTGACAGATGCCATGCCCACTTTCTATACGACAAGTTGTGATTCTTCAGCAAATTATACTTAGTTGAACTAGATGTTTATAAACAATAGAAGGACCAAATTTTAAGATACAATTTCACAATGGTTATCTTAAAATTGGGATGAAGAATTTCATAGAGAACTAGTCAAATTACTCTTAGCATTGTTGCTGCTTTTTTCCTTACTAGCACTTTAGCATTGTTTCTTACCAAGAAATACATTAGTTAGATGGACAGTTGAGTTGTATATAGGTTTTTGTTTTATCTTTTATTTAATCATGTATTAGTTATGTTTTAAGATGCATATTTGAAAGGTTAAATAATTATTTTTATACAACACAACACCTTCTTGGTTCACAAGATTTAGTGTAATATGTGTGTGTCACCACATTCTGCCGACGGCTAAAGTTCCTTTGCCGACGATACTATAACCCTGGTTGGGGATGCCCACTGGTAATGTGTTGCAATAAATAATACGAACACTAAAGAACAGGAAAGGAAAATAAATCATATGTGAAAATGTAAAGACATGCAGTTAAGAATATAAACAAAAGATCTTTTATGAATATCTGACAAAATATTAAAAGGTACGTATATTTTTTCCTAGGTCTTAATTTTAAACATTTCATTGTACTATATTATACACTATAGTATCAGTTGATGATAACAGCTGCAGTTAGTAATTTTGTAGAGAAAGTGAAAAATGAAATATAAACATTTACCTTAATAGATTTTTGACATGTAATTAGGAGGTTCTAGGGGATTGCAAATGAAATTTGAAAACTATAAGATGGAAAAAAAGTATTTTCATACTCAAGTTGTTTTGTTGGTTACACAAAATGTTACCTGAGAATACTCCCATAAACTTTAAAATAGTTAAACCCATAATATTTCTTCATCAAAATTAGAGGTTATGTTACCACAAAGTCAGATCTTGTGACTTACAATGGACTATATTCCATAGATAAACTAAAGATGTCTTCAGGTGTAAAAATAAGCCTTCCTCCTTCTTGAACTTCTCCTCGACCTTCGCTAGATGCTGGCACTAAACCCTTTGCCACTGAAACGAAAGGAAAAAAAACATTCGTTCTTTACAAATTACCTTAGTTCTTACACTTTGTGTTAAATCTTTTTTATTTTAAACCTTTGAACTTTTACACTAAAAAGACTATGCAGACACAGTAAAGGAAGTACACAGATTCAGAGAAAAGTTTTAACTCTCTCACTATAGTTAAGTCAGAGTGCAAATGCCATGATCTTTTACAGTTTTATTTGAAATATAATTAAACTACTTTATTACAAATAAATACAGCATCAAAAAGTAGTTAGTAAAACAACTTTTAATATTATACAAGTGTAAACTTCTTAATTTAAAATCAAATGAATTCCCCTTGTATGTGTATCATTGCATTTGTTCACTCAGACTTGCCAATCTTCTGGGTTTTTTTCCCACTAACCCTCTCCGATGTACTGACTTAAACATAAATTCTGCATTAGAGTATATATAAAACTAATTTTTATAGCTTTCAATCTTCTTTGTTTACGGAGATACAGTCAGACTCGCTTACCACACCTATCTATCACATCCTCTCTTTTACAAATTACCAATAAATCTCTCTTACATTTATTACAGGATTTATAATTAACACAAAGTTTTAATTTACTAAATGACATACAATGCTACCTTGTTCACAATAGATATTGTTAGTTATTTTGCATACAAATTGAAAGTTGCTTCCACAGAGTTCAGATTGAGTTGCTAAGGTACTTGTTTTAAATCACTTATGTTTAGAAAGCCAGTTAATTATAATAGTTGTAGAAGAGGTCTGTTTTGTGCGTGTTACTATATTATGTTCTTAAGTGTATGCTTGAAATAAATAAAAAATATCGAATGTACTAGTGCCATGCATAAGTTTCACCCGTGAGCCAACAGCAAAAAACAAGAGATCAAATGTACTTACTAAATTCCTTGTTTTTTTATGTATATGTTTTATCTATTGTTATAAAAGTAACTAAAACATAAAAATTTGAAACTTACCAGGTTAGATTAGAAAAGATAAAGAACAACAATTATAATAATAATACTTTCTCCACGAGATATACGATTGCAAGTAGCTCATGAATTACGTTATTCAATGCAGTAACTTGAGCTACGTGTTCACCAAGTAACTGACAACTGTTATTTCAGTACAATTAGTTATACATGGTTCAAAGGGCAATTAAACAATAAAATTAAGTAGAAACAAGTGTAGGATAAACAATTATAATTTTATGTTACAATCTGCAGTTATTCTGGAAAGAAAAAGGGGTATCTTAGATATATTTCATATCTTTTTATGGTGATTACAAAATTGTTCAAAATGACCAAGCCCATATGGAAAGAGTTAAACCAACTAGTAAATCAATATCTCTTGAATCAAGTACAATATCACCATTACTGCAATATTTAAAACTCCATGTTCGTTCAGGTCTACAAAAGTGTTCATTTTGTTACAAATAATGAAATTCTAACTGCAGTTACATTAACTCAGTACTAAACTGATTAAGCAAGCAGTGTCTCAGAGAAGTTATGGAACATGACACGGAAATCATATTGATTACTGTGAGTGAATCATACTCTTAATATATGAAGGGGTATGAAAACTTAGAAAGGTTTGCTTCTCTCTTTGTTTCAAAATTTTGTACAAAGCTACATGAGGGCTATCTGCACATAGTTGCCTAGCTTAAAACTGATAAGACTAGAGGGAAGGCAGCTAGTCAACAGCACCCACGACCAACTTTTGGGTAAATCTTGTCTGATCAAATACTGGAATTTGACCGTCAACATTATAGAGCACCCACAGCTCCAAAGCATGGAACACCTTTTTTAGTGGCAAAGAGTTGTAGACCATGAACCTACAGATTCACCGACCAAGCATGCAATCACATGTCTGTATCCAGCCCACACACACTATAGAATGAGAAGTGGAATGTCCCAAGTCCTAAATATATAGTGTTAAAAACATATTTTGTTTAGCCTTACAAGCAGGAAGGGTAGAAGACTTTTATTGTGACACTCACAATAAATATAGAAACGTGTAGTTTTTTTAGTATAATAAAACAACAGTAACTTACCGGCTTCTGGATTTTGAGCATAAAATTCTCTTCTTCGTTTCATTTCGTCTATCAAAATATTAGAAGTTATAATAAATATATTTTTGGAATGGCTATGTGTTAGTAATACAACTTCAATTATACATTTCATAAGCTTACAAATGCATTTTGTAAAACAGATATAGTGCAACGGCTGCTACAGACCTATTACACATATCAACTTAAAATCTCTACACAGTTAAAAAATCATCAAATAGATTAGTTATTCTTAGTGGAACAAAATTACCAAAAATCTTTTTTAAGAATCAATTGACATAAAAAAAGAACAAATTTCACATTGTTTAGGAACTTAATAGTTTTCCAAACTTTTCAAATTCAAACTCTATTATTTTTTTTTTAATATAACCAAATTACAATTATCAAAACATTAAAAAAACACACAATATTTATTTTTTAATTTCTGAAGCAAGACTTTGGGTTTCATGTAATGCTCTAACTATTTATTTTTAAAGGTACATTACTCTTACCAACACTAACGTTTCTTTAACAATTCCCAACCAATTTATATACAGAACTACTCTACTTTTGGTAATACATACTTTTAAATAGTTTTTAATCAAGTTTATCATGTGTCTTCAAAGTTTAGAAAATTATTATGAAAAATGTTACATTATGAAATTTATGCACTTTGTATAAAATTATCAAACTTGTCTATTTTACTACATTATCAATGCAACAATCAGGCCAATAGCCACTAATGAATTTATTTGAAACATGCAATGGTATGTCATTGTAATAACTTATAAGTGACAGTAAAGAGTATGTTATGTCAACTATCCTACATCTTCCATATCCAATACTAACAAGGCCTTTCACACACCACCAGGGTTCATCAGGCTGGATAGAATATGATAAACATAGAAGTTATCTAGGCACTATTTATATCATCAATTTTCATGAACAGTAACTGTTATGGTGCAAACTACATTAAGTAAGTGAATTGCAACAATTATCCATTTTTATTTAGTCATTTATAAATCAGAATTTCTAGGGTATATCCAACCTCTTATGACCATAAAATCTAAATGAAATACTACCCAATATCCACAGAAGGAACTATTAAAATGTGGTCATTTGAGCTTCAATGTGACCTCTTAGGTCAACATTCTCGCCAAGTTCATGACCCCAATTGACCTTTATAGTTTCCATTCCCGTAGCATAACTTCTAATATGTTTCGTGTAGATTACCAAATTTTGCAAGCTTTCAGTAAGCATTAAGTTTTCTGTAGACAAAAAAAATTAGAATATATAATGAAGTATTTTCACTAAAAATTTCTCAGTGTATGATATATGGAGTCAAAGTGTGCAAAGTGATTTTCATGTTAAGATTAAAAATGCTTTTCTTCATCTGAAAATTGTCAAATTTCATTTGCACAATCTCTAAATAAATTTC